TACACACCACTCCAGGAGGATTTCTACAATGCATACCTTAACAGTGGTGCTATATTCAGATCTCAGAGGGTGTGCCACATTGATTCTATAGTTGCAGCAGCTAGAGAGCACATTCACCCCTACCTTGCATATCTGCCGAGGCTGACAAACTTGATTGGATGGACCGGATTATATGTTCCATCTTGGGTTCGTCAGTTCTTTGTTTCTCTCTAGATAGATCCGCATCATAACTTTATTCACTTTGCATTTAGAGGCAGAGATTATCGGCTGACGAGCACTAGGGTCAGAGAGATACTCAGGCTTTAGGAATAGCCTGTCAGGTTACATGAGGTTTGCTATGGATAGACAGCGCCTCCCAGACGCCCTCATGGCGGTATGGTGCCCCCTACAGACTTGGTTCGCCACTGCTTCACTGAGCCCTTCGGCGAAGGGTCATGCAGGAACCCCAGTGATCTTACTCCTACTGCTCGCGTGCTTGAGGCTATCATGAGGAGGACATTGCTTTCGAGGATGGGGTATCGCGAGGGCTTGACTCGCATACAGTTGTGGCTTATCAACTCTCTGATGCAGCAGATGGTATTTGACATTTGGGATCTTCTTTTGTCAGAGATGGAGGACACTATTGCAGAGGGCTTCAGAGGACACAGGTAGCTGCCATATGCCCATTGGGTCACTTTTCTTATTCACAGGGCAGTTACTGTGAGGCCACCAGAGATGCTTGCTGAGTACAATGGTGCTATGACGGAATTCCCTGCATACAACATGACTCAGATGATCCTTCACAGCACGCCATAGGCACCTAGCCAGCCGCGCCGTCGTTCTGATGTGCCAAAGTCTGTAGCCCAGTAGGATAATATTATCAGGGGCATTGCAGCTACAGAGGAGGAGCAGCTTGCTCAGCAGGAGGGGATGGTCATGAGCGACCCCAGTGACAGTTCTGATGATGACTACCAGCCCATTCCTCAGATGCCTCCACGATGACATGATAATGAGGCCGGCAGCTCCAGTTTAGCGCCACCTACCCCGCAGACAGACCCTGCTCTCCTTGCTATACTTGAGCGGATGAGGCAGGACCAGGCACGCCAGGCTCAGGAGACAGCTGCTACATTTGGACAATTCCAGACTCGGCAGGATGAGTTCCAGCGCCAGCAACAGGCGATCCAGCAGCAGCAGCTGCTTATTCAGCAGCAGACGTAAGCTCTACAGCAGCAGCAGCAGCAGGCCATGCATCAGCAGCAGATCCTCATGTAGTAGCAACTTCTTGGATTTATGCAGCATGTTGTGACTGCTATTGGGGCTTCATCGCCACAGCCTTCGCCCCAGCTTGGTCATACTGCCACTACTTCTATGACTCCAGCATTATAGCCTAATGGGCTTTAGAGTCAGGGACAGCCACCAGCATAGTTTGCTTCTCCTATAGAGCAGGTGTCCTAGTGGTTTGCTACGTCAGTGCTAGCCCCGCAGTTCACACCGTTTCGTACGGGCTTCACACCGGCTGAGACGTCCTCGCTGCTAGTGCCAGAGACCACAGTGTCCAAGAGCCTTGGTGCTTCCTTCAGTGAGTTGACAGGGCACCCTACACCGTCAGACCTACATGTCCCTGTACCTACCACCATTGCTCCAGTGACAGGCACGACAGAGACACTCCCTTCCTCAGTGGCATCATTAGAGCCAGCTGCTTCAATTATACCTGCACAGCCTATAACAGCTCCAGTCCCTGATCCGACCCAGACTGCTACAGCATCGCTTCTAGCTATAGAGGGTCAGACAGCTCAGAGCTCTAGATCAAATGATGATGGCACCCGGTTCCAGCTCGTTCCTCGTACCTTAGCGCCCGGCTCGTCCGCTGCAGCCCCGCTGACCAACCCTTAGGTTTTGGTGTTTGACGCCAAAGGGGGAGAGGGTTCGAGTATGTTAGCCTTAGGGGGAGCGACATATCTAGGGGGAGCTTAGTTATTATATTAGCTTATCTATTACATTTGGAGTTTTTATGTGTGATACACTATTATGCATTCGTCGTGTGTTTACTTATTATGCATTAAACTATATTTATGTGATAGTGATATCTACGTGATCGTGATATATGACATATGTACTCTCTATTTTGGATTATTTATATGTCATATCACTTATGCTATGCTCATTTGCTTTTGCTTCCACGTTTTACTCCAATGCAAATGAGCTCTATTTCTTGTACTCATGCTTATTTCATATCCTTGGAGTACATTATGTTGGCTTGGACCATATAAGCTTGACTAACTCTTTTGTTCTTATTGCTAAAAGCTTATATGAACCAAGCATGTTAAAAACCTCATCTCTTTCACATACTCGAGGTAGTATTGTCATCAATCACCAAAAAAGGGGAGATTAAAAGCATCTAGGCCCCTAGTTGGGTTTCGGTGATTAATGATAATGCATGATTACTGTGACTAACGTGTGTTTTGCAGAGGCAATTAAGTTAGGTCACGGTAATGGAGATCGATTGGGCAATCAAGATGGTCATGCCCCTACGATGGAAATCGTTTTGGTTTTCAAAGGATGGACGACAAGGTTAAGGATGGACTAGTTCTAAGTGTCGATTGGAGTTGGAGTGACACTTAGAGTAGTTTAGGACTTTATTTTTTCTTTGGTCGTACTATTAAGGGGGGTATGGACGGGTAGCTTGACCTAGGTGAGTAGTGAGTTAGGTATGGTGCACACTTATTAAAACTAGCACTAGGTAGCTCCAAAATAGCCCTTAGATCCAATGGAGCAAACTTCATTCACATATAATCGAGAGTTAGAAGTGAATGGAGGGTCAAATACTGACCGGACGCTGGCGCAGAGTCCGGTCAGTTCATTTGACTAAGGTGAAATTGTCTGGTGCGACCGGACGCTGAGAGGTGAAGTGACCGGACGCTGAGAGCCAACGTCCGATCGACTCCAGTAAGGTTCCAGAGAGGGAAAATCATGACCAGACGCGTCCGGTCACACTGTAAACACCGGAGTTCGGGGTGTACTGACCGGAGCGTCCGGTCAACATGACCGGAGCGTCCAGTCACCCCGCAGAGGCACATAACGGTTCGTTTTTCAGCCCATGTTATAAATAGAACCTTCACTCGTGTGTGGGGGTACTTTTGCTCATTCCAACAGCTGAGAAACACGTTTGAGAGTGTCAAGAAAAGCAAGGTCCTAGTGAGGTGATTGAGATTTAAGAATCCCAAAGAGAGCCCTCATTAGTGAGATCAAGAGTAGCAAAGTGTGCATCCACCCTTCTCATTAGGCTTGTCGTGGTCAAGTGAGAGTTCGTGCTTGTTACTCTTGGTGATCGCCATCACCTAGACGGCTTGGTGGTGATAGAGAGCTTGGTGATTATCCAGAGAGCTTGTGGATGACCTAACTCAAGTTATGAGCGATTGTGGGTGATTCACCACGACGGAGTGTCGAAGAATCAACCCGTAGAGAGCACTTGATCCTTGCGCGGATAAGGGGAGCTACACCCTTGCGTGGGTGCTCCAACGAGGACCAGTGGGGAGTGGCGACTCTCCGATACCTCGGTAAAACATCACCGCATTCTTCCTCATCTCTTCACTTTGAGCATTTACTTTGAGCAATTCAATTCTTGTCATTTACATTCTTAGAATTGCCATGCTAGAGTAGGATTGGAACATAGGTTGCAAGTCTTTTGTGCGGTAGAACAATTAGAAACACTTTCTAGGCACAAGGGGTTAATTGGGCTAACCGTATGATTTAATTATTGCAAAGAAATTTAGAATTAGCCCAATTCACCCCCTCTTGGGCATCTTGATCCTTTCATGTTGTCTGCTACTGAAGGTCACTAGATGAGATTCTCTCTTTCTAAAGAAAGTGTTGGCTATCATCAGGTCAAAAGCTACCGCAAAGTCCAGAACTTTCTCCCCCTCCTGATTCCTGCTACCATACCCAAAACCTCCATAAACTACCTCGAAACCTATGCTTGTAGTACCTACATGCCCATTAAGATCTCCTCCTATAAAAAGCTTCTCTCCTAGGTACAGCTCTAATCAGGCCATCTAAGTTTTCCTAGAACTGTCTCTTAGCACTCTCGTCGATGCCTACTTGGGAGGCATACGCACTAATTACGTTCAAAACCATATCACAAATGACAAGCTTGACTAAGATAATCCTATCTCCTTGCCTTCTCACTCCCACCACACTATTCTTGAGGCCCTTATCAATCAAAACTCCTACACCATTTCTATTCGCGACTGTCCCTATGTACCAAAGCTTGAAACCTGTATTGTCCACCTCCTTCGCCTTCTGACCCTCACATGTAGGGCTGGACAAAAAACTCGTAGCTCGCTAGCTTGCTCGACTTGGCTCGTTAGTGGCTCGGCTCGGCTCGACTCATTTGAATTTTTTAACAAGCCAAGCTAGCTGTTTAGCTTAGTTAGTTAATGAGCCAGTTCGAGCAGCTCGCAAGCTGCTCATGAGCCAAAACAAGCCAAGATAAGTAAGGAGCCAACAACTTTAATTAGTCCATATATCACTTTGCCTATGGCCTAACACATGGATAATAGCATACTTATATTTTTCTATTGTAGAATTCATATGTATTTTGTTTTATTTCATTTTAAATATACATGCGATGTGTTTGTTGCTTACTTGAGGTTATAATATCTATGTAATATGCTTTTGTGTTTTGGCTCGCGAGCCAAACGAGCTAGCTCGAGCTTGCTAACGAGCCGAGCTGAAGTAGACATCTAACTCGTTTGTATAACGAGCCATAACGAGCCAAGCCATAACGGGCCAAGATTTCACGTGATGGAGGCAGAACAGTGAATCTTAGCGGTGGCCACGAGCCTTTTGTTTCTGAACATGCAAGCCTGACCGGAAGTGGTGTTAGACAGACTCACATGATGGAGGCAGAACAGTGAATCTTAGCAGTGGCCATGATTCCATGAACCCATCGGATCAAGCATGGCAACGCAGACAACCGAACCAACCAACAAATGCGATTTTTTTTATTATATCCACGGGTATCACAACACATGCCCCGTTCGCGTGCCCTTGAACACCATCCGAACGGAGCCACAATGACAAAGTGGAATCTGTTCACGTTGGGCCCCATTGGAGATGACCCAGTCAGAGGTTTCAGGTTTCACATGATGCACATGAGTGTTATCGTTTATATCAAGATTGCGTTTCTGTTTTCTAATTGTGAAATCAAGCATCAGTTGAGCAATTATAACACAATGCAGCATTACAAGGTGGAAGGTTCCTTTAACAATACAGTATTCAAGGATTACAACTCTGTCTTGGTACACCTGAAATCACGCCAACCGCCTGTCTGACGAGGAACATGTTGACAGCGTCATGAAGATCACACTGATTCTTTTCATGCTCACAATATTGCCCTATGCATTGTTTTCCAGCACCCTTGGTCCCCAACAAGATCGACTTCCTAATGTTCGTACAATGGTACATGTAGCTCCAACCGTCGCGATAAATGACTACCTAAGTGTGGTAGACATAAGGAAGGACCGGATTCGTTGCAGGAGTTCTGCCTTCACCGAATCAGGCACTGAGGCTGTTTCACATGCGAAATAAGTTGAGAGCAGTGTAAGAGGGACCAGTACAAAGATGAGCAAATTTTCTCGGCCAGGAAAGTAGAAGTGTAAAACAGAGTGGGAGCTCTCTGCATTGGGTACACCCTTTTTTTAATGAGCATTTCATGGGGCAAAAGGAAAAAAAATGAGAAACTTTCAATCATAATATCTCATGGATTGTCTATTTGTTTAGCTCCAGGTTTAGTCATAGTACGAAAGACGAATCATGCAAAGACACATAGTGAATTATTTTTTTGGGCATAGAGTGAAATTTGTGAAAAGAATTCTAGTTGCAATCAGAAAAAGAAATCAAGGGGCAGAAAAGACCACTTACCTCTTCCTTTCGGAGTAATAACATGAATGAGGTCATCTACCGTCACATTATTTCTTCCTTTCTTCCTTGCATAGGCCCTACACAGTACACACAAGGACAAAAGAGAGATGCATCGAAAAAAGAATGATGAGCATTGGGAAAGATACATATTATCCAGTTAAAACCACACCATCTTTATTCTCAACCTATGGAGTGTGTAATGTAGCACAAATTTCAAAATGCTCTAGCGAGGCAACTTGAGGTAGCTACAGTTAAAGTGACAAACTGCAAAGTGATCTCCAATGCCTAGGGTTTTGAAGACTTCAGAATTAGATCAAATTTGATTGGATGCGATGAACATTTAGCGCAGAATTTGGACAAAGCAAAAGAACCTGCTTTCAGCTGAATCGTATCAATAAAAAAAAATTAACGTGCAAGTGCTTAGTGGGTTACTCAGAACCTGTTTTTGCAAACACAGGTTCATTCGAAAAGAATATAATTGCAGGAAAAAGAAAGAGCAAAATTTAAACAAACTGCATATGTTGCACACTTGCATCGGTTGCAATAACTGCAGTAGCCATCTAGTAAAATCATTGCAATTATTTATTTACTAGAAAATTTGAGAGAACCAGCCATAAGTAGTTTCCATGAGAAACCAACTTGAGCTGCATAAGATTTTACAAAATTCCCAATTTATCAGGAAGCAACAGAACCCCTTCAGGTTATCTTCACGAGGAATTGAGAAAACTACTTCTGCTTCAGAATTTAGCTACACATTTGAGCAAGATAGAACAATGGTTTGGGGTTTTGACAGATTAATGTGTGCCTTTCACATACATTCAATTGTAATCATCAAAGGCAGTTGAATTGAGAAGACCATTGAGAAGTTGGGCAAAAGCATCATGCATTCTCAAGGACTGCAAACAATTCCTACGCTAAAATGCAAATATCAGAACCTTAGGAATGTGAAGCACTTGCTCAGCATCATTGGATGCAAAGGTTAAGATGCATGTGTTTATTACTATGAATCAATAAACGTAATTTGTTAATAGCAAGCATACACTCAGCACGAATAATATTTGAGTTTGATACAAGAGAAGTCAAACCTGCAGAGTGCCTTCATCTCATCCCTCCAGCTGCACTCGACGAGCCGCTCACGGAGGAGCTCCATTAGCTTCTCCTTCTCCCCACTCTCTACCAACTTCACAAACCAAAACCCACCTTATTGTTACCGCACCCAAGGAACAACAGCGGCAGTAGCCAATACAATTAAACCACCAATATGTTTTACTCGCTTCAACTACCTCAAAACCTCTCCCCTCGTACAGCCAAACGCCCAAACCCTAACCAAATCTAACAGAGACTACACACTTGGAGCACCAACCATAAGCTGAAGAACTCTAGCTTGTGGGCACCAAGAACTCTAACCCCGAGCCAGGAGGTGGAAAACACCTACGATCGAGGGTTTCCTCGGTCGATTTCAGCGAGATGGGGAACAGTACTGGTCATTACCTTGATGTTAATGATTTCCCCGAGAGAAGGCTCCTTGTCCCGATCCTCCTCCGCGCTCAGCGTCGGCGGCAGATTAATCGACGCCCTCCTGAAACCGTCGCCCCACCGCATCAAAGTCAGAATTCTTTTTCTCAGATAAAAAAAAGGGCACGAGCAAAATTTTGAGCAAAGCATCAACAGAGCAATTTGGGGGTCAATAACAGACACAGATTGCGCATACGAGCAGCAGCGGATGGGATTAGCTCGCTTACATGCTTCAATTCGGCTGAGATGCGCCCTCCTTCAGCTTCCTCGCTGCTTCTCCGGTTCCTGAGCGTCGTGTTCCTCGGTTTGGTGGTGGAGTGCGTCCTGTCACCTCACGGCTCATGTTGGGACTTGGGAGCCGCCGACTCGAAGACTCCAGGTTGCTGGGCCGTATCCCGCCAAATAATACCGGGCCTGGGCCCCAATGCAGGCTCAGCCCACTGAAAAATATCTGCGCTCCAATATCCAAGAGGAGGAGGAGGCCTCTCTGTCGTTCTGTCCCCTCCTTATCCCCTCCCCACGTTTCCCTCTCTTCGTTCACTTCCCGCCTGCCCACCCCCACCGCCGGCGAGCCATGCCTCCCCCGGCGGGGCTGCCTCCCTGGCCGACGCCGTCCACCACGCGCCTGGCGACCCCGACCCCGACGCGGCCTCCTCCTCGCACCACCCACGTCCGCCCGCCGCCTCCACCTTACACTCGCGTCCGCCTTCCTCCGCCTCCGCCTGCTACGACGCCACCACCGCCCCGCCTGGAGCCCGCCACGCCAAAACCAGCGGCCGTATCCACACCCCTGCCTCCTGCAACTATCTCCGCAGCGTCTTCGTCGTCCACCTGCCTCGATTGCGTCCATTTCGGCAAGTGCGTCTCGCGCTCCGCCGACACCCGCACACAGAGAGAGAGAGAGCTCCTGCTTGCGTGTGATCGAACTAATTTTCTGTTCGCCCAATTCGTAGGTGCTCAGGGTGCACGCACGAGTTGGACCTCGACAAGCCGCCGGTGCTTCAGGAGGTGGCGAATTTCTTCAGGGGGCACGGGGTCGGAGATTTCACCTTCAGCAGAGGCAGGCTGGTACGTGTACCCTATCTAATTGTGTAGCTTATAAAAATTCCAGCTGTATCCCGTCCTAGTTCCCTTAAAGTTATATATTCTGTTTGGGCGTTTTGTTATACTCTGCCTCATTTTCGTGGTTAGGTTAGTTGTGAAGTTTGTAGTTTACTAATTACTAAATAGAACCTCTAATTTTGAAGCTAACATCCGTCCAATCTTCCATGCTAATATTTATATATTATTTGACCAACTAGCTTGCTAAATGTGACAAATGTGTTTTCAGTCCCAATGGCGGTGCCGGGCAAAGTTAGCTGTTCGTGGAACACCAGAGAACCCATTGATTGGTTTATACCAGGAAGGGACGCATGTTGTTATAGATATTCCAGAGTGCAGAGGTTAGTTGTCATAATTTATTTTATCATGAATTCAAAGTATTTATGTAAATAAGTTGTCAAAACTCGTGTCACTTCTGGTACGCTACAATGAATCCTTGTTCCAAACAGGGCCATAGTATGGTAACTGCAATTTATAATCCTTGTTTCTTCTTTCACCTTTTTTCAGCTCACCACCCAAGCATTAATGCTGCTGTTAAGTTGCTAAGGCAAGGTATGTTACTATTGTTGCTTCATGCTTTGCTTCAATGGATGTGCAGAAGTGTTGTCTTCAGTCTGACCAGTGAGGTTTAATATATTGGATTTGCAGGTATAACGGAGCTAAGTATTCAGCCATTTGATGAAGATGCTGGAACTGGTGAACTCAGATATGTTCAGGTAATTGTTAGTTTTCTTAAAATAACACATAACCATTTGAATGGAACTTTATATTTTTCTAGGCCCAGCATATACACCTGACAGACTCAAGTGTGAATATGAATATTCTAATAGAGAGTGCAGATGCCTATCGCGTGTAGTTCTTCCCTGCTGCAATGGAATTTATTTGTGTTGCCATGTTTTTCAGATGGCCTTGACAACATATAACACATCTATTCCAGTTGATAAAAGATACGAGCAAGGTTAGCCTAATTCTTCAACTGCTCATGTGCCGATCCCCATGATCAAAGTGATAGAAAATATCAGTGCCGTGCAGGGAAAGTTCAAGTTTCATTGGTTTGGAATTCAAGAGACGAGCGCTCCCAGAACGCAGAGAAGCTGACTTCATTGATAGAAGTAAGTTGTTGAAACTGAGGTTCTGCAACAATGGAGTACTTTTCATATTTCTATTGGAACTTTGTCCCAACACATTCCACTGCTTTGCACGCTGTATCACTAAATCATTGTGAGTATACCTTTTGTGACAGTACTTGTGGAGAAATGGTGGGCCAAAAAGTAGTGTTCATCTGATCCATTCTATATGGGCCAATTTTCAGACATCAACCAGCAACGTAAGATATCCATATCATAGTTCTTGTGGATGTAAACCATGTTTATACTTATATTGTTTCTTGTAAAAAAATATACAACTCATTTGGCATTATCATTACGACTACTGTAGTTGTGGTTTTGTGCAAAGGAACTAAGGAAAACAATAAAATATACTGTGATGCTGATATTCTGTTTTAGAACCACTGGCATAACGATTACCAGGTTGCAGAAGCTAGGACTTAGGAGTCGATAATCCATATGGACATGTGGTAACCACTGCACGTGTCAGCAGATGAACAGATTCAGGCATTGTTGCCCCACATATAAGCAGCAATGCTGCATCTAGTACTAAATTCCGCTGGAGTAGGTTCATGTCCTTGGGTGAAGGTGCAGTGGGGTGTGGGTGGTGTTGCAGGTGTACCAAGATCACTTTTCTTTGTCATATATAGGATAACTACATTCTACTTCACATGTATGCAAACTGTACTTCCTCCAATCTGAAATACAAGTCCATCTAGGTTTGTCCTAAGAGCATCTCCAAGAGCATTTCTAAATCTCACCTTCTAAATCACCATTTGGAGAGCCATTTGCATAAAAATCGCTTTCTATATCTTTTCACTCTCCAACAGTTTTTCTATATCTCATGCGCACTCTAGAGAGCCACTCTCATCTTCTATTTTTGGCTAACGAAAAATCCGGAATATAAGATGGGCTATATTTGGATGACCATTTAGAGAAGCTGTTGGAGGGTAGTTTTTCACCTAAATCTCTATTTCTAGCATTTAGGAAGGATATGGAGAGTCTCTTGGAGATGGTCTAAGTCAAACAGTTTTAACTCTGACTAGCAATCTCTACACAAGATGTACTGTCTTAAATGAAAAGAGTTATATATGATGAAAGTACTTTTCATAATGAATTTAGTAATGCCAAACTTGTGTTGTCAATCTATATAAAAATTTAGATATTGATGATTAAAGTTATAATATTTTGACTTTGGACAAACCTAGATGGACTTATATTTCAGATAGGAGGAAGAATGTATGTGTACGACCATGTTGTTCTTCCTTCTCATTATTACTTTTAACTGTTTGCCTTGGTCAAAGATTAGCTACCAGATCTGCTGAGCAACCAACTCCACACTATCTTGTAAGGAACATGTTTTTATTTCTTTCCTTATAACAATGTGTCATTCTGTAGATAATTTTTGGGCATAAATGGAGACATCTTAAGGGGGAGAGGGACCTGTGGGAGCGTTATGGGGGAGTTGATATTTCTCTGGATCCTTGTAGCTTTGGCCAGGCTAATACTCTGGTATGTGCACTTAAATTGTCCTTACTCATGTACAATTTCACCAAGTATACCGTGCTAAATTTCATGACAAAATTTTCTTGGCAATTCAATTGGCTGCAAGCTACTTGATACCCCCGAGAACTCCATGTGCCACCTGTTTTGTTGCGTGCTTGAGCAAGGATCTCAAATGTGTTTGAAGCTATAGTGTATTAGTGTTTGCTATCTCATGTAAATTTTCTCATAAAGTTTTCTTGCTATCACACTGTGCTTTGTTTTCTTTGCAGTCATTTAACTCTTTGTTGCATAAGCTGAACAAGTATGTACCACGTGGTTCAACAGTTGTTGATTTGTACTCTGGGGCTGGCGTTATTGGCCTATCAGTTGCTGCTTCAAGGAAATGTAGGTGAGCAGATAAATGCATGCTAAGAGGAACATATGTTATTCACATATGCTGGTGAGGACAATACAATGGATTTGCATACTAAAAGATCTACAACCTGATGCAGTGTCTTAATGCATGCATTAATTCTAAGACCTTTTGCTTCCATATGGTCTCTTGGTTGAAATCTTTTGACAACATTTGACATGGTGTTATATTATTAGGTGTTATGTGTATTATTTGTTGTAGACTGCTAAGTAAGCAAATACCAGTACTGATATCGTAGGCCTTGCTAAGCCTTTCCCAGACTTGATTTGCAAAAGCCTGGGATGAAAAGGGCAAAGCCCAGAGCCCAAGTCTCGGTCCTGTCCTATGTGATTTGGCCCTAAGCCACCCTATTTTTTGGTTGAGCTGTAAGCACAAAACAAACTAATTTTAGTTTTCCTAAGAAATATTTGTGGGAAAAAAATCTGGTATTTATTAAAAAAAAATTATGGACTTCATGCTGATAGATAAGCCTAGTGCTAAAGCACTTGTATTTTACTTTTCCTGCACTTT